CTGAGACCATGACCTGAGCTGAAACCAAGAGTTGGACACTCAACCGACTGAGTCATTCAGGTCCCCCTAAATTATTTCTTTCCACTTAAAATGCCTTTTCATTCCATGCCAATACATACAGATTGATCTCTTTCTTTTCAATTATTGCTTATTATTGCATTATCTGGGTGCACCATAGTTTATCATCACTTGATAGAATTTGAGCTGCTTTCCATTTTTTGCTCTTGCAGTCCTTCAGTAGCCATCTCTGGGCACACGCAGAGCTTTTTTGCCATAGGGCACATTTAAAAATAACTTGCTGAAACTGTTTTTAGATTTATAGAATGCATTTTCATTTCACTCTAAAATTTCCCAGTAGCTATGGGGGCCTTGGTGGGTTTGAGCCTTTGGATAGCCTTATTTTATTGCTGGTTAAAACTGTTTCCCATTTTTTCAACAAAATATGGCCAGATCATGTTGATGGCCACAGAAAGGTGAAATGTACATATCAGTAAGACATTCTCTACTCTTAAGACCCATCTACAAGTGCGTGATAGTGAGAGTGGCAACCAAAACGTTTGTTGAAATCCTCAGGATTTCAGAGGTAATTTCCTTCAACTGTGTGTAGCCTGGCAACATTTTGGACCATTATAAAATCAACCTTTTTTATAAGCACCAGGACCATTCATTTTAAATTGTCTGTTGAGTACCCTTTGCTGGCAGGTCTGTAGCTGAATGCCCGTCTCCACAAGGTGCTCATCATCTGTATTTGTGGTTAGCGTCCTGCACCGCCTGGACACTTCACTAGCGTTGTTTAATAAAACATTTCTATTTTAAAAAACACCAGGTCAGATCTGCTGAGTCAGATGCGATATCCTTCAACTGCACAAGCTCCACCACAGGGATTTGGGGAGTTTATTATCGGACACAAATCTGTCGGGACTCCTCTGCTGCTGACGACCACAAAGGAGCTAAGGTTAGTTCAAAGACTATTTGGTGACTTGACACTCTGACACAGTGCTACTCCAAGCTGCTAGCCTGTGAACTCTTTTTTACTGGTCCAGAATGAGCTAATGCACTTGGTCCAGAATGTAAAGCATTATACTGTTTCACTCATGGGAAAAGGTCTTGGTATGAAAATGTTAACTGAAGGGGCACCTGGGTGGCTCAGTCGGTTAAGCGTCTGCCTTTGGCTCAGGTCATGGTCTCAGGGTCCTGGGATCATGACCTGAGCTGAAGGCAGACACTTAACTGACTGAGCCACCCAGGCGCCCCATTTTTGTTCTTTTTTTCTGAAGTAAATTACAGGGACCAGGGGAGGGATGCAGGTTGATAACGTCCGTCTTGCAGAACCGATATCAGACACGAGGTTAACAGGTAAGGAACTAGGACCCCTGGATGGTGCCGGGATGTGGAGGGGCATGTAACCTGGAGAAGTTTCAACCACCTCCTCAAGAAGTTTCCAGGCCCATTCGGTTCCTACCCTAACCACTGCATACTTTGCTAATCATACATAAACTGTTCCTAGGCCCAACAGGGCACGGCAGACTTGGGACTGATTCCCTGCCTTCCTGTTGGGCTGCCCTTCTGGTAATAAAGCTTTCTGTGGATCAGACCTGCTGACTCAGAGATTGGCTCACTGCGTTTTGGGAACACGAGTCTGATTTCAGGGTTCCATAATACACTGACTTAAGGGGAAGGGCCCATGTAGCTGGTTTGTGTTAGGTGTTGTTCCCCCCGCCAATAATTTTATGAGGAGGTGATGTAAGACTCAAGAGGAGTTACATTTCTTTCTCATAGACTCAAAAATATTAAGTGGTAAGATAGAGATTCAGAACCGGGACTTTCCCGACTTCAAAATTCATGTTCTTTCTTCTAATTCAGTGTATTTACATTGCTTCAAAAATTCATTCGTTTACTCACTAACCCATTAGTGCATTTATGTTCTTCTTTTAATGGCATCTTTTGTTTTATATCCTTCTGGTTTAACAGTCTGTGAGGAAAGAGGCTCTTCCCTGATAGCCCCACTTAGAAACAACCCAGGGAAGAACTCTGGGTGGCCCAGCCTGTGGGTCAGGTGGCTGGGGAAGGGCAGGTGGGCACAGTTACTAGAAGAAGAGAGGTGGGGGGTCATGGGGCCTGGGCCACTGGAGATGTTACTACCTTCATTTGTGTCTATTACTCCTGTGGTGCCACATGACCTTCCCGCCCCACAGTCAATCTCCCATATGTGTCACTTAAACAGAATGTCTGTTAACAGACGGAGGTTTGGGGGCGCCTGGGTGGCTCAGTCGTTAAGCATCTGCCTTGGGCTCAGGTCATTGTCCTGGGATCGAGCCCCGCATCGGGCTCCCTGCTCCGCGGGAAGCCTGCTTCTCCCTCTCCCGCTCCCCCTGCTTGTGTTCCCTCTCTCGCTGTG